GGACGCCGGGGGTGCTTTAAGACGGGGAAAAGCCGGTCCCCAGAACAGTAACCACACTTTGAACCTCAGTAGCTCCCCCATGAATAGTCCAGGGATTACCCCACCGCAGTTCATGTCTCCGAGGCATCGGGTCAGCCCAGGGCTGGTGCCCAGACCCAGAGTGCCCAGCAATCCCTTCTCGCCCACCATGCCCACCATGCACTCCCCCGTGGGCATGGCCAACAGCGGCAGCGGGGGCAGCAGTGGCACCGGTGGCACCAGACCCTTTCCCAGCGCCCCCATAAACTCTATGCAGGGGCTGACCGAAGGTCCCAGCACGCCGGTGGGCTACTCCACGCCACCCCCCGTGCTGAGACAGCTCAGCTCCCAGAGCTCGCCCGGCCGCCTCGCCATGCAACCCATGAAAGCGGAGTCGAAGGACAGCAAAGAGATCGCCTCCATCTTGAGCGAGATGATCCAGTCGGACGGAGGTTCGGGGGATGGCAAACCGCTGGACTCGGGCATGCTGCACGCCGGCGACAGGCTCTCGGAGGGGGACAGCAAGTGCTCCCAAGCCACCAGCCATAAGCTGGTCCAGCTCCTGGCCACCACGGCGGAGCAGCAGCTTCGACATGCTGATGCGGACACGAGCTGCAAAGATTCGTTAGCCTGTGCGGGCACCGCTGGCACCTTGGCCTCCGGCAACCCTCCCAACAGCACCTGCCCTTCCTCCCATAGCTCGCTGACCGAGCGGCACAAGATTTTGCATAGACTCCTTCAGGAGGGCAGCCCTTCTGATATTACCACCCTGGCCATGGAGCACGAGAAGAAGGAGAACGCCCCGAACCCCGCCACTACCCCCACAGCTCAGAGCCAGCTGCCGGGAACCCCGGACATCAAACTGGAGCCAGACGCGCTGAAGAAAAAAGATGTCAAGGATCACCAGCTCCTGCGCTATCTGCTGGACAAGGATGAGAAGGAGCTTGCTGCAGCCCCGGCGCTGAGCCTGGACGACGTAAAGGTGAAGGTGGAGAAGACGGAGCAGATGGAGCCCTGTAACACGGTGCCGGTGCCGCTCGCCAAACCTCCTGCCACGGAGGAGGTCAAGCTGGAGACGCAGGGCCAGGTGAGTTGACCTATCTGCGTCTGTGCTGGTGGGATGCTCTCGACAAGGCGTGTTTTGGGGGCAGTTTCCCCCAAACCTGCTGGCGTGCTCCGCAGCAAGGTGGTGGGACCGGGAGGAGTGTGGGGGGATGTCCTGTGGCTGCCGCAACCTTCTGCCCTGGTACCGCTTTCTCCAGCGCTGATGCCACCTTCTCCAGCGCTGATGCCACCTTCTGCAGTGCTGATGCCACCTTCTTCAGCACTGGTGCCGCCTTCTCTAGCACTGATGCCACCTTCTCCAGCACTGGTGCCACCTTCTCCAGTGCTGGTGCCACCTTCTCCAGTGCTTCTGCAGTGCTGATGCCACCTTCTTCAGCACTGGTGCCGCCTTCTCTAGCACTGATGCCACCTTCCCTAGCGGTGGTGCCACCTTCTCCAGTGCTGGTGCCACCTTTTCCAGCACCGGTGCTATCCGATTTTGTCCAGACGCTTCACGTTTTGGCAGCTCAGACCTTCAAGGTGATGGTGAGAGGGAGGAAGGGAGAAACTTTAATGAGGTGTATAAAAATGAGAAAGAAACGCAGCACATCACGGCAGGTGGTGGGCTTGAGTGAGGAGAAGACCACGTGCATGTTGCCATGCAGAAAGGTTCTTAATTCTGCATCTCTGGGCACATTCAGGACTCGTGTCCCAGGGAATTGTCAATCCCTTGCCCTCTTGTTGGCTGAGATTAGCAATTATATGGGCCTTTTAGTTATCCTAAAAGTATTATTAAATTGAATAATCCAGTGACAGATCTCTGCAATAGAGATTTGGGTGTATAAATATTCATTACACGCAGCTATGAATAGAAGAGATTTCTTATTTTTGAAAGCCAGGGGAGATGGTAACATGGATAAGGCTGCTTAATCCTTTTTAAGCAAAGAGAAGAGAGCGGCTGACATGAAGAGCAGGGCCGATCGCCTGCCTACTGACTGTGGCAAATAAGGCTGCCGGCGTTTGGAGATACGGGATGAATAACAGAGCGCTCGGAGAGCCTCGAATGACAAGTACACAATAAGTCTCTTAATAAGGTTAAGGTCTCAGTTGGCCTGGGAGTCGCGGTCGGTTATCCTGTAGGCGATTGGGAATTGAACTCTTTATCCCTTTCTATAATGTACTTTCCTGGTGTCATCGGCTCGCTGGATGGTACGTCCTCCCCCATCATCTCCCATTTGAGATTCGTCATCTAGATTAGATGAGGAAGACCCAAGTCAAGACGTGCTTATTTTGGGAGGCGCATGGGAGCTTGCAGGTGGTAGAGCTGAGTACCCACCACGATGATCCAGTGGAAGGCACAGCATCCTGCCGGGAGATGCACGGGCTCTTGTACCAAGCCGCCCCAACCTGCTTTCGAGCTGGGAGCGTGTCGGGGAGTGCGGTTGTAGCCGAAATCAGGCAAAATGCCGGGGCACGGGAAGATCTTTGCTTCCCTGGTCTCCCAGACATCCACGTGCGGGATGCACTCGCCGGCCAGGGATTCAGGCAGGCTCTTTGCTGACTGTCGGTGATGGTTCCAGGTACTCCATCCTTCAGAGAGGGCAGAAAGCCCTATTAATTAAACGAGGCTGTGCTAGCTAATTGTGCTCTGCTCGCGAAGAGGCGCACAGACCTTGGAGGACTCGAGCCTGGATGTGTTTATAAGCCCCTCTCCTGCGCTGTTGGAAGCAGCCGAGCATTTTTAGGCTCCTTCGTGGCTTTTCAGTTCCAAGTATCTCTCCCCAGGCAGCTGGAGAGCGTCAGGATTATACGTTGGACCGTACCGAGTGCTTCCAAAGAGTTAATAAAAGAGGCTGGAGAGGGTTTGCAGAGTCTTAAAATGCATTTTCTGAGGAGTGAACAACCCTTCACTGCTCAGCAGCTAGGGACAGAGTTTCATTTCCACGTGTTTTCTGTTACAGGCTGCTTTGGTGCGGCGTAGGGAGGGGGAGCTGCCATTTCAAATAAAATCTAGCACTTGCTAGATTTTTCTTTTCATGTGTGATCATTTTAGGAATCAAAATATCAATTAGGAGCGATATTAATTGTGGGGCATGCCGTGCAGCTCACTTTCAGCCTTGAAGGAACTCTTTCCTTTCTGGATTTATCCTATGGAAATGCCCCAGGGTTTGCTCGGAGCCACTTGTTCGTGGGGTGAGAACAAAAATATTTGGGTAGGGCTTGGGAAAGAGCTAATAGGAGTTACAAAAGTTAAAAAAAAAAAAAAAAAGGGAAAAGAATAAGCCAGGTTTTGGAAGGGCTCTTCATCCTTCTGCTTCAAGGCATGAGCTGAACTTCAGCTAAGTGAAGAGGAGACTTTCCTTCAGGTCACATTGTCTTAGATCTGCCCTTGAGCGGGACGCGGGGGAGCAGGCAGCGCTGCCTGTACTGGGGAGCGCTCAGCTCCCTCCACCATCCACAGGCATGGAGGAGGAGTCCGAAGAGAAGTCACGGATGCCCCATCATTGGAAGTTTTCAAGGTCAGGTTGGACGGGGCTCTGAGCTACCTGATCTAGTTGAAGATGTCCCTGCCCACGGCAGGGGGTTGGACTAGATGACCTTTAAAGGTCCCTTCCAACCCAAACCGTTCTGTGATTCCGTGAAAAATAAAGTTTTACCTTCTTTTTCGTTCACTTTTTGGTCTGAATCTACATTTCGGCTTGTTTTCGCAAGCAGGGTAGAATCCTTTTCTCGAAAAGAAGAAAAAAAGAGGAGTGGTGACAGAGCTGGAGATCCTTATGGAAATAGCTGCCTTCAGTAGCCAGGGCTCCACAGAAAATTCAAATGATCTGAAGCTTGCAATGAAGTCATGGGATTATTTAATTTGTGCGAGTATTTCGTTTCCCAAGTGGCTTGGGAGGAGAAGTGCCTCTGCTCCATGTGAAGGTCCAGCCAGGGATGAAGGGTGGGTGGGTACCATCTCTGACCTCCTCACCAAGCTGATTTCACATGTAGGGCATCTGACGAGCCAGCTGGGCAAGGGTTGAAGGGCAGAGATGAGATGGTGTCCTTTGGTTTGCCTTTTGGTTGGCTCTAGTTTTGGAACCTTGCTTCTGCTGGGAGCCGGAGGTTTGGAGAAGAAGCAGCAGCTGTTCAGAAATATTCAGCCACCCCGTGTCACCATCCCTCGCACCGTGGGTTTTCTCACCCATTTGGGGAAAGAAATAGGTCGTGGAGGTCTGAGCCTTCTCTGAGCAAGACTGGATGGCCTCAGCTTCTCCAGCTCTCCAGCACTGTGCATTTTCTAGACGTGGAGGAGAAATAAAATACCCATTAAAGTGGGCGCAGATTCCAGGTGCAAGTTTGGGTGCTCCAGAAAACAACGTATAAGCACCCTGCTCCCACCACGTGTGCTTCATTCCCACCTCTCCATCCTCCAACTTCTTCATGTACCCAACAAGCAACGCAAGAACTTCACTGCTCCCGTTTTATCTCCTCTTGATGTCCGTTTTGGATGCCCACAGCTCCCTCTGTGCCCTTCTTGTCTCTCTGCTTCCAAAATGACCTCCCTGCAGGAGGAGATGGAGTTGAGGAGATGTATTTCTGGTGTATCGGGGATGTATCCCATTTGCTTCAGTTCCCTCTGTTTTGCAAACTTGAGCTTTAAAGAAATTCTGCTTGGGAATTACATTATCGGAGGAGTTGAGACGTGCAGCCTGCTGTAGGAGTTGAATTTGCTGCGTTTAATTCTCTCTGTGAGCCTGGGTTTAGGAGGATATTCTGCTTCTCAGGACTCTGGGGTTAGGATTTGATGGAAAGGATACGGGGGAAAAGAAAAAGACTGGTTAGTCCATTATAGAAATTGTAATATTGATGCCTGCTGCTCGCGGTGCACTTTTCATCATCGGTGTTGTCTAAACATCATTCAATTCACAACACGCTATGGTAAAGGGAAAACAAGCACGTGCCCTGTCACGTATATTAAAAACACCAATTCATCTACCCAGGTGCTCCAGGAGACTGTGGGAAGCGGGGAGAAAAAAGCTGTGAAGGTCAAGAAGGAAATCTCTGACATGGTGGGGAGCATGAGGGGGGTCCCTCAGGTCTCGGATGCTGGACTGGGCTCGTGGTTTCGATGGAGCCACCGTTGTTGGAGGGTCCATCCCAAGGTGGAGCTTCCCGCAGCCGCCCCGGGCTTTGTCCTCGCCGTGCATCGACCTATGCATCGTGGAGGTGAAACTGGAAGCAGCTGCAGTGGCGACTGGGATTGCCATGGGTTTGGAGGATTTTATCTGAGATACGAAATATTTCCAGCTAGGATTTAGGGAGAAACTTCCCATGATTTTTTCTGGCAAGGGGCAAAGCTGTCACCTTGGTGAGAGGTCTCCATCAGCCGGGGAAGTGCGGAGGCATCCCAGGGATGCCCAAAGCCAGCGGCCTCCCAGCCATTTATCACGGGCGGGGGCTGTTGGCTGCAGCCTCGCACCTCAGCTGATGGCAGAGCCTCTTGTCGAAACCAGGATCCCAATTCCTGCCAGATTTCTCCATCTTCTCCGGACCGGAGCATCATTCCCTCCATCAAATGCGAAGATTTTCCCTACTGCTATCAAGTTGTCTATTAATTACCCCGTGTTAATGACCAGGCTTTCCCTAACGGCGAGGGGTGGCTCTTCTGGAAGCAGTATGTGTCCTTAGATTTAGCTTCCCTTGAGATATTTTTCTTTTTAGCCAAAGCTCATTTATCTCAGCCCCTTTAATCCCAACCTGCTGCTTTACAGCGCCACTGTTACAGCCACTGGTGCAAATCCCTTTCCCAGTAACTTTCCCATTTATTTGAGTCCTCGGGCTAAACATCTACTCTTCCACTCTTAGCGCTGATGAAGGCTGGAAAAGCTGAATGATATTTTACTACCCCACTGAGGGTGATTACATGCCCAAGGCCAGCGTCGGTTTTGGACACTTGTTCCAAAAAGTCACTTCTGTTTCTTAGAACAGACCATTTTTTTAGTATTATAATTTCAGTGTAAGCATATGTGTATTAACAAAGCAAATTATCTCCCGTTTTAAATAGCTGGAGGTTATATATACTGTTAATAATTATGCTAATTGCAGTGCGTGAACATCTCGAAGCTGCCTCCGAGGACCGGGCTCTGGGGTGGGGACCCACGCACGGGGGGGGACAGTCCTTGTCCCCCCAGGGTCTGCATCTAGCCGGGCAGAGGGATGCGGGGCTGGTTCTCCATCCATGCGAGATGCTCGGTGTTTCAGCAAGCGAAGGGATAAGGGGAGCAGCGTGGGGGGCCACGTGCCTGTGAAACCAGCACTTGGTCTTGCTGATGCTGTGTTTGGGCTGAATCACCCACCTGTGATTTTTTTTTGCCTTCCTTAGTTTGCTGCCGAACTGGAGCAGCTGGACCAGCTCCTGCCCTCGCTGGAGAAGGCGGCTCAGCTGCCCGGCTTGTGTGGACCGGAGAGAAACGAGAGCGGCGTGGCCGGTGTTGCCGTCAAACCGGAGATGCTGGCAGCCCCCCTGCAGCCCAGCACCGCTGCCAGAGCCCCCACGGGACTCAACCGTACGTGTCCGCCCCCGGGGAATGCCGGCGCTCATCCCCAAACCGGCTCCCTGCCGGGGGGTGGGAGGGGAGGGTCTCCTCCATCACGGGATCCTGAATCCGGCCGCAGTGATGCTCTGGGGGACCTGGGCTTTGCAGGCTGGTG